CACACACACACACACACACAGGCACACGTACCAGCTGAGGCCATAAGACCAACTGTGTAATTATACATGTGTAATTGCACCCTAACCAATCAAGCACAGTGAGAGAGAAAGACTGCTGGAGATAGAGAAAGGCAGGTGGATGTAAGAATAACTGCCATTTCCCCTGTCTCTTGAGATAATCAGCCATACCTTGCGCCTGCGGTCCCTGGATCGATTCCTCTTTTTTATCTTTTCTTCCTCCTTCTCCCTCTGCTCCTGGGCGGCGGCCTCCGCAAGGTCCTTGGTCTTGCGGAGCTGCTTGGCGGCTTGCGCCATGGTGCCGCTGCTACTGTTGCTGCTGCTCCAGTCACGGTCGCTCCAGCCCTCCTCCTGTTTGCACTACCACCAGTCGTCCCGGTTTCCTCTTCCTGTGTCCCTCTGTCCCCCGAGCCCCGTCACTTACTACCTCTTCTCTGGTGGCCACCACGACATGTGTGTGTATGATGCAAGCACGAGGAGCGTCTGTGTCCAAATATTTTGTGTGTGTGTGTGTGTGTATGTCTTGTGGCTGTTGATGGTAGAGCAGCCACAAGACAGCCTCCAGCAGCCACAAAGAAAGATGCTACAGCTAGTGGTGCTGATGTTGCTTCTTATGCCGCGGCTGCTACTCATCCAGTCTGCTAGCACTGCACTGAATTGCCTCCCCTCCCCCTTTCTTTCTCTCCTACCTTCCTCCCTTCTCTCCTCTCTCCTCCCTCTGCTTGCAGAGACCAGTCACGCAGTTCTGTGTACAGCACTGTAGGGATCCTGCTGCAGAGCTCCCTCGTTTTATCTGTCAGATGCCCTCCTCTTCCTGCTGCTCTGCATCTTTCTCCAGTTTTCTTCTTTGTTAAAGGCTTTTTTTTTTCAGAATAGCTGTTTTTTTTATAAGTGAGGTACAAAAGATGAGGGCGCTAAAGCTGCTGAATGCCTTCAAATAATTTTTTTCTCACGTCTTTTTTCCCTCTCTCTGCCAATAGCTTTTCTATGGCACCTCCCTCCTGGAAACAGACAGAGAAGAAGAACAGAAGTGAGAAAAATGGGAGCTTGTGAAACAGAAACGGGTTTCTAATATGCAGCATCATGCTTTTACGATGAGTCTTTGCACAGCTTGGCCAAAAGTCGATTTTAAGGTGGCATGGAAACAGTATGCTGTGTGATAAGTATTAGACCTGCCTGTTTCTCTCATGTTTTGTCAGAAGCAGAACAGAAGAAAAGCATCAACGATGTGAACGCCTCATAAAAACTGCATGCTCCTCTCCCTTCCCCTTCATTCCACCACTTTTCCTTTTTCCATCAAATCAAGAGGGTATGCACAGATGTTTGGTGCAACAAAAAACAACATTACCATTCATTTTTGAAAAACTACTAACAGTTTTTGCAGGTAATCTCCAACTGATTTTGACTGTGTCACCATCTAATGGAAAATTGACTTGCTGTGCCTTCATATGATTATAAAATTTGTTTTATTTGGTTCTAATAAGCTAACATTCAGGTTTAACTTAAAATCCTTCTTATTTTCCTATTGTGAGTCAAATCCGGAAACCAATTTTCAAACTATAAAATCCATTATATTCAACAGACATGACAATATCTGTTTGTTTATCTGTTTGTTGTCTTATCAACAGTTGCATCTTATTTCCAAAATGAATTATTTCTTTAGCTATTATTAATTCATTAATATAACACATTTGCATTCTGTACACACTGTTCATCACCAGAGTGTAGGTCTACCAACCCCCCCCCCTCTCTCTCTTTCTTTCTTTCTTTCTTCCTCTCATTTATTCCCCCATCCGCCCCTGCAACATCATCTTTCTGCAGAATGATGTAGCAACCTAAAGTGCAGCATAGGAATGCATAGGAATGCATACATTTTATATTCATAGATGCCTTCTGTGTTTGTGTGACTCTATGCAACTTCTTGCTTCTTTGTATGCATCACATCTGAGTGACATTTTATACGGATACTAATGGATCTATTAAGCTAGATCCATTAGTATCAGGCTAATGGATCTAGCTTAATAGATCTAGCAACAAAATGTATGCCAGAGCTTGCCTTGGACTCACCATCAAAGCAACCAGACTAATTGTTGCAAATCCTGCCTAAAAACTCCCCCTAGAGTGATCCATGTGCCCTCTGAAAGCTATGTGCATAAAATACAGACTAAATAGGTAATAGTTTATGCAACAGTGTGGCTATAGGACTCTAGTGCAAATATCTCACATGAGCAGCTATTTAGACTTTCTAGTAAATAAAGCACAACGGGAACATTAGTCCAGTTTGTGCCTGTCTTTACCTCTTTATGGCGTCATTTATTCACCTGTGGGAAGGAAAGCATTGTTGTTGCTGTTGCTCTTTTCATGCATTAACTTTATGTAATTTTTTTTTTAATTAACAGAACTTTCATTACTGAAAACTGAAGCCAAAGTGGAAGCGCCTCAAACCCGCATTCTTTCTAAATGGCAGCAGGGGGCGATTCCTCTTGTTGCAAAAAGACTTAGTTGAACTGAAGGACAAATGTAAATGACTGTGAGCTTCCTTGCTCTATGACCTCAGTAAACACTTTTCTGATTGGTTTATAGCCTCAATCTCTAGTTTCAAGTTAGTGAACAAAGGCATAGTTATTTCTGATAATGCTGACCTGTGCTCTGGACTCTTTCCAAAGGCTTAGATAGCAACAGCCAAAACACTCTACTTCAGCCTGAGCAGGGTGAAGCACAGGAGCAGGTTTAGGCAACTGTAGGTTACTGTTGTATTCACACTTTTGCAATTTACAAACAAACAGTCAAACAGTCTTTGACAGCTTTCAGCACACAAAACCAATATGTAATGAACAGAACTCTAAACAACTTTAAGATCAACGTAAAAAATATCCATTGACCTTTTTTCTTTAGACACAGGATTGTCATCAGCAGGAACATTTTGATGGTTAGAATACAGTATTGTAAAAGTTTTATGCCACCCCCAATTTCTTTATGTTTTCATTCCAAGGAGCCAGTCCTATTCTTACTGTCTTTCTTTCTTCTCTGGACACTGACTACACATCACAAATAACACAGAACCAATTTTAAATTGTATCTTTGTGACAGAGAATAGAACAAAAGAGAGCGCTGAATGCCCTTCAAGAAGCCTGAAGAACTATTCCTGAAGACTTCTTAAAGAATTTATAAGAAAGCTTTAGAGAGTTCAGACTGTGTTGAAAAATAAAGGTCAAATAGTCGTACCAAATACTGACTTTCAAGCTCATTGTAACTGCTGTTTTTGCCATATATAATGTTTGTTTACACCTGTTTCCAATATTTACTAGGAGTCTCTAAAGAAATCAGGAGCAGCTAGACATGTATTCTATTACATAATAACTTAAATGACAAGATAAAAATAGATCATAACCTGCAGATTTCTCTCTATTACATTGTGGTAGTGTGTATTTGAAGTTAAAGCCATTACTACTCCCATAATGTATGTTTCTGATATTTTATATTTTGGCTACAGTTAAGAAAACCCAGGGTAGCTAGTTTACAGGGCTTCTACTGGCCAGCAGAACTAGGTTGGTATCCCAGTAGTTAGCCAGCTAGCAATACAACCACTATATTAACTAAGATATATGAGGCTATGATATATGATAGCCCGTGATACCTACTCATAACATTTCTGTTGCAATATACTTTTAAGAAAAAACAAAAAAATCTTGGCCTAGCTAAAGTTGGGCTAACATTTACAGGCATAGTCCAATATTTGCTACTGATTAAAAAAAAATAAAATAAAATAAAGAATGCCGATGCAGTCGCTGTTTTTTCCCCCCATAACTATAATAACATTTTTATAAGTCGACATTTTTCAGAAAAGGGTATACTGCTAGCTATTGTGCCAACCGCCAAAGTACAGACTTCATGAATTAACTCATAAACGTAGCTCATGTATTGCATTGTATTTTATTTGTTTGTTTTTCTACTTAATGTACTGTTCTTAAATACAAACTCACTGTTGCCGAAGTTGCGCTCTCCTGCTGTGTTCTATGAAGCCCACTGCGTACATGCCAGCTGCCACTCATGAAAGATAGCTTAGTTAACCTACAAGTGTGTATCACATTAGCTGGATCTTGCACCTATAAGCTATACACTAAGCTAGAATTTAATATAAAAACATATATTGATCCATAAAATGAATAAATGGTGTGTTTTAATTTGCTTGCATGGTCTGAGATGTATTTGCGTTAGAAAGAGCATACTGTGCATGAATCCATCACTGATGAAAAAAAATAAAAATACATTTGCTGGGTCCATTAGCTCCTGAGCCAGTATGGTGTGTGCTAAATATGGAAAATGATTAAGCTGCATATTTTGTTACCTGAAGATCTGGCACTGCAATTTTCTAGCTTAATGAGATCAGTCACTTAATCAGTGTAAGTAATCAGTGTAGCTGTGGAGAAAAGAAACAAGCCAAAGCCATGGTAAACTAGTCTTTCCCAGCGTTTAATGCAATTTTGGGGAAAGTCAGCTCTAAACTTATTTCAGTGACAGTTGCACACATAATTCAGACATGAAGCAGACACAGGGATGTCTGCTGCTAATAAAATCTACACTTTTAATTTCTGGGCATATAAAGAGAATGGGCAGTTGATGAAGACGAGCAGGGGTACAGTTTTTCATATACCTGAACATGAACATAACAGATCACTGACTTTTTGTTTTCTTTAAGACATCAAAAAGATATGCATCATGTAGCCACTGGTCACTTCATTAGTTACATCTTACTCATATTAGCTTGGATCCCCTTTGGCCTTGAGAGCTGTTTTTTATCCCTCGTGGCATAGATTCAACAAGGTGCTGGAACCATTCTTCAGAGATTTTGGTCCATACTGACATTACAGCATCACACAGTTGATGCAGATATGTTTATTGTTGTAAATCTTCTGTTCCACCGAATCCCAAAGAGGCCAGGTGAGGTCTTCTGCTCCCATAGGCCATTTACTTCAATGAGATGCTCTTCTGCATACCTTGGTTGTAACAAGTTGGTATTTGTCTTACTGTTGCCTTCCTATCAACTCAATGTGACTATAGGCCTCTGTGCTTTGGGCAATATTTTGCCTGCAGTATAAGATTCCCAAGGTCAGTGCACGACCGCGATTAAACAGTTTAACACTTTTTCAGTAAATTAAGTAGTGGAGCGCTGGCGAGGAGGATGAGTTATGGATCGTTGTAATTTGTAGTTGCAAAAGTGAAGTCTTGGTTCATCAGTCAGCATATGGTGTAGCGAGAAAGTGTGATTTAATGTCAGCATGTCACGCTCTACGTTCCCGAGTAGATTGGATGGTTTCCAGTGAATGGTGATTCATGATTCTGCATTGCTGAGAGATTTCCATCACTACTATTTAAAGTCTCACACATCACTGCAGCGTCTTTGGTCATCTGGCTTTCACTGTGTTGTTGCACCATCAGGTGGCAAGTGGATGTTATTGCTACCAAACGCCTTATCTCCATCTGTTTCTGCTCTTTAAAAGTATTCTTTCAATCCGTATTTGAAGTTTTTCTAATTGTTTTTCTTACGCACAAATAATAATAAATATGACTCATGTGTTTTGGGTAATGCCCCTGAAATGCCCTAATGTTTCACTGTCTTTCCAGCTCTGCCACATGCCATCTGGCTTTATTCCAATGTAGAATGTGCATCCACCAGTCCTTTGCCCTTGGCGAGGACTTGCACTTCCCTCAGCAAAAAAAAAGCATTTTGGGACTCAGCCAGTGCTGCTGTGTCCATTACAAACTACATCCACCTCGGAAATAAGAAGAGGCAGGGAACGCTGAAACAAAGGACATGTCTTTGTTTTCACCTTGATGTAATGAATCCATATTGTTCTTAGTACGGACACCTTCATCCTGCTTCATCATATGATTTTATGTATTAGATAGATCTTTCTTAAAGGGTTTAACAATTACCACTTGAGTTAAAAATCTTGTGCAAGTCTCTTTTGC